GGAACTCTTGTCTGCGGTTCTCAGCCATGGAGCGCTCGGCGCACCACACCTGGCGGAACTCTTGTCTGGGGTTCTCAACCATGAAGCGCTCGGTGCACCACGCCTGGCGGAACTCCGGGGTCCTCTTCTCAGGAAGTCCAGGCACATAACACTCTTTATTATACTCACTGAAATGCATTTACAATGCTTTTAGTATAAGTCTTTTAAACCTTACCATTATCTTCCCACAATCCCCTAACACTCTACTAATCGTACTGACAGCGGGAGATTCTGTGCAGCCTCTACCGCACTGTCCACTGCTGCCTATCTAGCATGTTTCAGGCACTAGGGGCTGTTGATGTGGCTAGAGAGAATAACAATTATTCTATTCGTTCGTTGTGTTGACATAGGTGTGCTTGAGTTCTCCAAGTGGCTGTTTGTCTTGCCCTTTCCCAATTTTCACTTTCAACACACGACGGCAGGATGACAAAGACCCGCACCACCACCACACACACACACAAATCTGTAGATTGCACAACCTTCATGTCCTCAGCTGAAAGTCAGTTTGTGTTGTATAACAGTAGAAGTGGTTGTACCTTTGGACCAGCCTAATCTATGAGTGGGATTGTTCCGTACGGCGGTACAAAGGACGAGGATGACGCGTTAACTGCGGTAGCCAATCAGAAATAAACTTTCACTGACTATAGAAAATCTGAATCTGGTTAATTTAAGTTACAGCACACCTACAGTACATCCCTCTGAATAAGCCTGCATGCATATACAGTGCCATGGGGGAAGGAAGGGAGGGTGGGCTGGTTAACAATGCAGTACATAAGAAAAGGGGCGGGATCATTTGAGCCGCCAAGGTACTACAGGTCACAGCGTGACCACAAACCATGCTGGGGGAAGTCAATATAGACTCATGCATGCTCAGGGTGCTCTTTCTCCTGTTGGAGACGCTGAGCAAAATAAAGATGAACCCCCCCCTTAAGCCCTGGTGGGGGGGGGGGGGGATGTGAGCCCCTGGATTTTTTTACACTGATGATCATTCATTTAAATATCCTTCTCTATTGTCGTTGGTGTGGCGCCCTGGCGACTTTTAACTTTGTACTATCATGGCAGTCACTGTTCGTCATGGAGCATGAGGATGTTTGTTTTCCTTGGCCTGGCCATGGGAAGGAGAAGCCATCCAAAGGGAGATAATATTACATTGTGTGCACATGGAACGGTCAGCTCTAGCACTGGGAGGGACCCGTCAATGCAGCTTTAGGTTACTCTAAGGCAATGGTTCCCAACCTATGTAACCTCAGGACCCACATTTGTCCTTGAACATTAAGTGGCGACCCAAGTCGCACTGCAATGGAACGCACGGCATTGTGGTACCGCTGGCGCTGAGGAGCCTCTCACATAGAAAAGTGGAAGGCACACGGCGACCCACTGAAAACAGGGTCGCGATCCACATTTGGGTCACGACCCACCAGTTGAGAAAACCAAGACTCTAAGGGGTCCGTTTTAGATTTTAGGAATTTTCCTCTCCTAGGGTGTTATGTATTTTCTCCTGAAGCAGACAAGGCGGAAGTGCAGTGGGGATTCCAATAATAAAGGGTTTTATTTCATCAGGAGCGTCTTGTCCTGTGTATGAGGTGTCGGGTTGTGGGCCCCAGAGAGCGTCTGGTCCAAATACGGCGCAGTTTGTTTTCGGCATTTCTTGAGTTTTTGTTTTTGTTTTTTTTTAGGAGAAAGAAAAAAAAAATAGACAGATACCTTTAACCAATCAGCTGCCAGAATCCAGTACGGGCAGAATCCATCACAGCAGTCACGATGCCTCTAACCATCCAGTCTTACCAAAGAATCTGCTTGGAGGTCATGGCATTGTTACGGCAGCACTCACCTGTCTGCCCGTCCGTCCGCCCGGCGCAGGTCAGTGCCAACAATAAAGATTTGGCAACACTTCCTGTTTATGCTTCATACAACATTCTGGATCACTATACCTGTCTATACAATAGCACTGATCTGTCTATATACCATTGCAGGGGGTAGCCAAACGTCGTCCCTCCAGCTGTGGTGACAGTACAAATCCCATCATGCATCTGCCTCTGGGAGTCATGCCCGTGGCTGTCAGAGCTCTGCAATGCCTCATGGGACTTGTAGTTCTATAACAGCTGGAGGCTTGAAGTTTGTCTACCGCTGCTCTATTGTCTATTTCAGATGTAGGCAACTTTGGAACTTCAGCTGTGGTAGAAACTACGAGTTCCATGAGGCATTGCAAGACGCTTAGGCCTCATTCACACAGCTAAGAGCCGGCCCGTACAGATCCATGCGGCGTGCCCTGGAAGGACAGGTGCTGCGTGTGATTGTATGCGGCAGCCTGTCCTTCTCTCGTCTCGGCGGGGTGACACTCGGTTACCGCTCCGGGTGTCACCCAGCCTCGGGACGCCCCTGCTTACAGCCACAGGCATGACTGCCAGAGACAGAGGCATTCTGGGATTTGTAGTGTTACCACAGCTGGAGTGCAGAGGTTGCCTACCCCTGGTCTATTTTGTTTTAATAAAACCCTACTGTACTGCAAATTGCTGCACATCATAACCTAAAATTCGGAGGTGGAGTTTATAGAGCCCCCTGAGTCCGGCGCCAACCCTGTTATCCTCTGACAACTTCAAAGTGCCGCCCTTCAAGTACATTATCAGGACATATTTTTTTGGGGCCTGCCTATGAGAGCCGGAATATCTGCTGTCATGTACTGCATTCTGTAGCATGAGTGGGGAATATCTAACAATGAATGAGCAAAGTGACAGTCCAGTTTCTTTAAAGTCGTTCTAATTCTTAAATGGATGACATTTGTTAAAGCACGGTGTATGATAAACAATTGCTTTTGTATATTAAATACTCTTTTAAACCTTTTTACCATGTCAGTGCTGCCGATCCTCTGCAGCCTCTTTCAGCCATTTCTTGCCTGCATGCACTCCATCCAATGTCAATACTCTAGATCAGGGGGTAGCAAACCTCCAGCTGAGGTGAAACTACAGATCCCATGATGCATCTCTCTCCTCGGGAGTCATGTCTGTGGCTGTGAGAATCTTGCAATGCCTCATGGGATTTGTAGTTCTTCCCACAGCTGGAGGGCCCGGAGGTTTGCTAACCCCTGATCTAGATAGTGACGACAGTGGGCCATGCCTCAGCAATGTGTGTCGGGTATAGTTGCTTGTAGTCTCCATCAAGGGGTGTGTGTGACAGCGTGACAAGGCAGGATGACGACTGGGACACAGTTGTCACCCAGTTAACAGGAAGTGCTTGAACTAGGAGCTCTGTGGCAGTATCACCGGGTATTCTTATAATACAATCTACAAATGTTGCAGCATTTTAAATGTCATGAACATGATAAAGCTTATGAGAGATTTTAGTCACGGGGTTTAGATCTGCTTTAAAGAGCAAATCTGGGTAGCAAGGCAACCCAAACATTCAACTGCTTTGGCAATCTGTTGTCATTATGCTGATGGCTTTCACGCTGAATACAATGCTGACTTTTTACATTCCCAGCGACGAGACCCATCCATCAGAGTTCTCAGTCCCACCTACCAGGGCAGTCACAAAGTCACATGGTGGCGTCACATTTCCACACTGCAGGAACAAGTCACACCTGTCATTGCTTTGTGTTCTCCTAGTTAAATTTTTCTTTGTTTCCTGTTTTTGGGTGGCTACGTTGGTTTGCAAGGTCCCAGGTAGGACTACAGTCATATATTCATACACTGCCTGTGTAGATGCAAACATGCAGCCCTGAAGCCTACCAAGTCCCATTCTTGCTCCTCCCCCCCGAAGGTAATAGACTGACCGCAGCTCCTGAGGCCTCAAGCCCCGCCCCTGTTCCTCCTCTAATGCAATAGACTGACCGCAGCTCCTGAGGACTCAAGCCCCACCCCTGTTCTTCCTCTAATGCAATAGATAGACCGCAGCTCCAGAGGACTCAAGCCCCACCCCTGTTCCTCCTCTAATGCAATAGATAGACCGCAGCTCCTGAGGACTCAAGCCCCACCCCTGTTCCTTCTCTAATGCAATAGACTGACCGCAGCTCCTGAGGACTAAAGCCCCACCCCTGTTCCTTCTCTAATGCCCTAGACTGACTGCAGCTCCTGAGGCTTCAAGCCTCGCCCCTGTTCCTTCTCTAATGCAATAGACTGACCGCAGCTCCTGAGGACTCAAGCCCCACCCCTGTTCCTTCTCTAATGCAATAGACTGACCGCAGCTCCTGAGGACTCAAGCCCCACCCCTGTTCCTTCTCTAATGCCCTAGACTGACTGCAGCTCCTGAGGCTTCAAGCCTCGCCCCTGTTCCTCCTCTAATGTAATACATTGACCGCAGCTCCTGAGGCCTCAAGCCCCACCCCTGTTCCTTCTCTAATGCCCTTGCTTCAACTCCAGTGTAATAGATTGAATGCAGCTCCCAAAGCTGCAAGCCCCGCCCCTGCGCCTCCTCCAATGTAATGGACTTGCTGCAGATCTTAAAGCTTCAAGTCCCGTCCTAGCTCCTCTAATGTAATAGATTGGCTGTGGCTCCAGAGGCCGGGTCTAAGATGGGGCATGGCAATATGACGATTGGAATGATGGGAAATGTAGTCACAACAAGGGCGATCCGGTGGTGTCCTAAGCGTGCGGGTTCCCGTAAGGAAGTTCGAAGAAGCGCTGTTGAGCAATCCAAAGCCAGTGGCTGTGACCACCATGTGTAAGCGGTTCTGCACATATATAGAGGAATTGCTTTCCTGAGAAGTGTTTTTATTGGTGAATAATTATATATAAAAGGTAAAAGGAGAGTTTAATATTACTTCAAGGCCTTGTGGGAGGGGCAGAGACTCGGCCAGTGTCAGGAATCCCATCACCGGAGTCTCTAAGAGATCTATGAAGCCAGCGAGTGACCACCCGGTACTGAATTCAATGTATGTGTATCTGAAACTGGAACACTGGCCTGTACCTTGAGGTGGAGCTCCATCCTATACTATATATATATGGGAATATGAGGTAAGCACTAACCCGTAGGAAGGGAGGAATGGAAGCGCCGGACAGTATTCTATGAAAGGCTTGAGGTAGCGGCAAGTGGTTCCTCTCAGCCCGAGTCACCTCCTCCTCCATGAAGGACACGTGATGGGCCACCATCTTCACAAAGGCCTACAGAGAATGAGCAACATCAGTATGAA